GCGGTCGTTGACCGCGTCCCGGGGCCTATATGGCCCTCCTGACCGTTTTTCACTCACGCGTAACTGTACGACCCGCGGGCCCTCTGGTGGTTCTCCGCGAGTAGTTAGCGCGGCGCAGTACTCGGGCGCCTGTGCCGCCTACCGGTGGCGCGTGACAGGTGCACGGCGCGTGCGCGCAGCCGCGGACTCCCGCTGCCTGCCGGCGGCGCTTTGTGTGTGTGGCGCTTTGAGTCGCCACATAGATATATATCACACATAGATATACAAGGTGTTTATAAAGTCTCACGTAGGCCTAATATCTCGGAAATGGCTTTAGATATAGAAAAATGTTTCAAACAAAAGTTGTTTGACTTCAAGGGAAACATAAAATGGTACCATTAGTTTGTCCTTGTGTGACGCTGTCAAGGTCAGGAAAAGGTAACTTCAACTTTTTCAAATGAAACCCTCCATTTTTTATTACATATTCTTATAGCTTATCTCGAGAGCTTTCCAAAACACATAAAATATTTTTCGATTAAGTAAATCTTGAGTTATGAAACTTGAAATTTGCAGTACCATCAGCATTAGCATTATCCAAGGTGTCCGAAAATGGCTAAAACCTTTTGAATGTTTTTCAAGATCATGATAACACATGTCAAAATCATTAAAGATCATTGAAGATCGTTGCTTTTATTTTCATTTTTGAAAAATATTTTTATTTTTTGAAAAAAAGAGAAACAATCTCCAATGTTCTTGACCTTCACATGTTTTATCAAGGTCATGATTCTGAACAACATTCAAAAGATTTTAGTGTTCGGACACCTTAGGTAATGCTAATGACAACGGTACTGCAAACATGCTTCATAACTCGAGATTTACTTAATCAAAAAATATATCTATGCGTTTTGGAAAGCTCTCGAGGTAAGCTACAAGAATATGCAATAAAAATGGGGTTTAAATTTCCTTTAAAAAATTTGAAGTAACCTTTCCCTGACCTTGACAGTGCCACTCAAGGTCAAACCATGATATTATTTTATGTCCCCCTTGAAGTCGAACAACTTTTGTTTAAAACATTGTTTTGTATCTAACATAGTTTTCGAGAAATTTTTTCGAGAAAGCGCATTTTAAAATGGGACATCCTGTACATATAAATACATACAGTCACCAAACTAATTGTCCGAACAATGCATTAATATATTGATAATTTCTAAAAATTCAAGATAGAATAACTTTGTCAAAAATTATCATAACGAAATTAAAAAAAAAAACATTTTACAGCTTGAAATCTCCATTTTTCAAGTTGATACTTTAGAAATCGATTAACTGACTTTCTTTGGAGTCGCATTGATACAAATGGAGATATGACAAATCGCAAAATTTTTTCATAACTTTGCAAAATTCCACGGCCCGGAATAAAAATCGCACAAAAACGAAGTGTACAGTTTTCGAAAGAATGAATCTTCTTTAATTTGCTTTTTATTTAAGAGTCGTACAATTTTCTTTTATCAAGTTATTCAACTTTGAAGCAAAAATGACCTTTTTTGCTTCAATGTTAAATAACTCGGTGAAAAAAATTATACAAAGCTCAACAAAAAAGCAAATTAAAGAAAATTCATTCTTTCGAAAACTGTACACCTCGTTTTTGTATGATTTTTATTCCGGGCCGTGGAACTTTGCAAAGTTAGGAAAAAATTTTTTACGATTTGTCATATCTTTATTTGTATCAATGCGACTTCGAAGAAAATCAGTTGATTGTTTTCTAAAGTATCAACTTGAAAAATGGAGATTTCAAGCTGTAAAATGCTTTTTTAAAAATCTCGTTACGATAATTTTTGACAAAGTTGCTCCATCTTGAATTTTTAGAAATTATCAATATATTAACGCATTGTCCGGACAATTAGTTTGGTGACTGTATACGTATATCAAGCAAAGCGATAGCGGAGCAACACCAAGTATATAAAAGTCGGGTGATGACCTTTGAATATACGGCACTGACACTGTCGAGCGCTATCGCTGTAGTTTTATCTCAAAGTTTTGCCTTGTCAGATTTCTGATTTTAATATCTCGGAAAGTTTTAATGAAAAATCTAATGACACTTTCATATATAATGTCGATACGAGCTTTCGATTGAGACCAATCCGAATAAAATCGGTGGTCAATTCGATCTTGAAATCGAGTCAATGAAAATGCTTTGGCGATTCCAGTCTTATTCGTCTTATTCTTTGTCTTATTTGTCTTCAGACTATCCGCCAAGGCGAATTCACAACGCCTAAGGCGAGCGACTGTCCGCCAAGATGCGTTCTTAAGGGGAGCGTCTCATTTGATCACGTCCCGATTGATCACAGCCACTCACAACGGCCGGTGCCTAGAGATTTTCCAATGTTCAAGCGCTGTGAGTGGCTGGTGGTCAATCAGGGCGTGGTCAAACGAATGCCTTTATATTTGTTCTTATGTAAGGTTACGCGCGCAGTTCGAAAACATAACTGTCCTTGTGTGTCATTGCATATATCCTTGTTGTTTGTGAATAAAAATAATAAAATGTTTAATGCGATATTTTTTATAACAATTTCACGATGATATTTGATAACTGTTAATTATAATTAAGATTTAGAAATCGGAATAAACTATTGCATTTGTTTAAAGTCTATTATTTAATAATCGGGTAACGATAATATCTGAGATCTGTTTGTATGCAAATTGTTAATTAAGACTTAGAAATTGGACTGAAATATTGCATTTGTTTAAAGTTTATTATTTATTAATCGGATAAAGATCTCGGATATCGATGATCGATCTCTTTGATTATTATTTAGCATTAATAAATTGAACGAAATAAGTTCTAAACCTTTCACACTATCTATTTGTTTATAACACGATATTTAACAAGTTAAGGATGATATCTAAGATCTATCTATGCAGCAATTGTTAATTAGGACTTAGAAATCGGACTGAATTGTTGCAAATGTTTAAAATCCATTATTTAACTATTGGGAGAAGACGCATCGATAATCCATCTCTTTGGTAATTGTCATTTAATACTAATAAATTTAATAAAATAAGTTCTAAATCTTTCGCATTATTCATTTGTTTATGTCGCGATACCTAACAAATTAATAATGATATTTAAGATCAGTTTGTGCAGTCATTAAGTTTAAGTTTATCTGCCATATTGGATTTGCCATTGTAAATTTTATAATTATGACGAATTCGTATTCAGCGACCCCGAAAACCTTAATTTATAGAAGTAAAAAAATTTTCTAGTCTTCTGTATTTCGGTAATTAAAGTTTGTTCTATTAATTTTTTTACGACAGTCCATTAAGAACGTCGCCATTTTGAAGTTTTTCAAAATCACCATGGGACATTCGATTTCACATAAAATAAGTTAAATTTTGAGTACTCGTACGTTTAAATAGGATCAAACCGTTTGGGCAGAGCCATTTGCGTTTTTGTATAGAATGACCATATATGTAGTTGGTTTTATAATATCTTGATGTAGATAATACCTCTATTAATATTAAGTAACATTTATATTCCTTTTGCCATAATTCAATAGG